AGTCTGTTCCACAGGCTAAAACAACTAGATATGCTAAGGCCGATACAGTCCAAACTGCCAAATCCTCCTCCAAAGAATCTTGACTATACTGTCAGCAGTGAGTATTGTTCTGGTACTCCGGGTCATGAAACAGAAAAGTGCTGGCACTTGAAAAGTGCGATACAGGAGCTTATTGATACCAATAGAATTGAAGTTCAAGCTCCCGAAGCACCCAATATCAACAGGAATCCGATGCCAGCCCATCAGGAGGCAAATATGATCGAAATAGTGCATGCGGAGGGGGAACCCAAGAAGCCATCACAGACCGTCATGATGATTTGATCCAGTGGAGTCAAGACAGATGAACAATCAGCAGATGAGAAGCTGGTGCTCAAGCAGAGCAAAAAGAGTGTTGAGTCATCTATGGCAGTAGAGAAGGGGTCTTTAAGCAGAGTAGCAACGAAACAGGAAGGGGTAAAGGTGATTGTACCAGGAGCGGCCAGCAAACCCATCATAATCGTGGAAGGAGCCCGCGCATATCGGGTTATTATCAAGCCAGTAACCCAATTACCAATAATCAACAGCAAGGCTATTCCATGGAATTACGAGCGGGTATCGGTGATGTACAAAGGGAAGGAAGTCAAAGAAGAAATATGTGAAGTACAGGGTTTAACTCGCTCGGGAAGGTGTTTTACTCCCGAAGAGTTAAGAAGAGCTAAAAATAATCCAGCACTAATGAAGAAAGTCGTAACTGAAGAAGAAGCAGAAGAATTCTTGAGGAAAATGAAGCTGCATGACTACTCTATCGTGGAACAATTAAGAAAGACGCCCGCTCAAATTTCCTTATTGTCATTATTGATCTATTCGGACGAGCACCGTCAAGCTTTAATGAAGATCTTGAATGAGGCACACGTTCCCGATAAGATCTCCGTGAATCACTTGGAAAAAATAGCCACTGATGATGAATTGCATGTAGAAGGTACTGAGCACAACAAAGCTCTTTACCTCACATTAAAATGTGAGAACTCTGTGGTGACCCGGGTATTAGTTGACAACGGATCAAGCGCAAACATCTGTCCTCTCTCCATTCTAAGCAAGTTGAAAATAGAAGATGAGAGGATCTATAAGAACAGTATTTGCGTGCGAGGATTTGACGTCGGAGGTAAAGATTCAGTTGGGGACATAGTGCTGGAGCTGACGATAGGGCCAGTCGAGTTCACAATGGAGTTTCAGGTGTTTGGATATAGCTGTTTCCTATAACTTACTGTTAGGTCGACCCTGGATCCACGCCGCTAAAGCAGTCCCATCAACACTACACCAGGTAGTCAAATTTGAATGGGATAGACAAGAAATAGTTGTGCATGGGAAGACAGTTTATATGCTCGTAGCAATGCCATCGTACCAGTCATTGAGGTGGAAGATGACTAGGGACCATAGGTCTACCAGGTTTCTGACACGATGTTGGTAGAGAAAGTTCCGGAGGGGAAATACNAGGGAAAATACATTCCAAATCCAAAGATAACCGCTGCATCAGTCATGGTAGCCTATGAGATGTTGAAAAATGGTTTTGTACTCGGTAAAGGTTTGGGCTCATTTTTGCAAGGCATCATACAGCCGGTGTCTCTTCCCGAAAACTTGGGAACATTTGGTTTGGGATTCAAGCCCACTGCCACAGACATAAGAAAGGCCAGAAAGCTAAAACAGAAGGCCTGGGTCCTTCCAAAGCCAGTCCCACGTCTTTCCAAATCATTTGTCAAGTCCGGTACCAGAAGTCGCCCGGTAACAACAATTCCCAGTTCTATGATTAATCCTGACGAGGAGTTAATTGAAAGATTTGAAAAATTGTTTGATGGTGTGAACATGGTGGAAAGCGGTTAAAGATAAAATTACACGTAGGTTCAAATTGTTCTAAATCAGATAATTAAGCCGGACATAACAGTAGAGCGACCGTGCTAGAACCACGGAACTCGGGAATGTCTAACACCTTCTCTCGGGTTAACATAATTCCTTACCTGGATTTCTGGCTCGCGGACTGTAATACAGAGGTAATATTTTCCTCGATTCGTGATTCTAACTGGTGACTTGGGACACCATAAATTATCCCAAGTGGCGACTCTGAATTTAATGTAAGTAATCCCGTTTCGATTGTCCTTTAATTGGAAAAACTCCCATACACTCCTTCCCGAGGGTGTAGGAAAAAGGAGGTGTAACAGCTCTGGCGACTCTGCTGGGGAGGGTTTTCAGGTGTATTTGATTTGGGCCTCTTTAATTAAATTGAACCTGGCCCAAATTTGACTTCCTTCTCTTTCATTAATTCTCTTTCTTTTCTTTTCTTCTTTTTTTCTTTCAAAAATTAAAGTTAAAAATCCTAAATTAAATTATAGAAGACCTAAATTAGCTTAAAAATATTAATTAACTTTAAATAACACCTATCACAAATAATTAAACACGTAAATTAAAAGAAAATCACACAATTTGACCAAAATACAAAAATATGTTATTTTTTGTGAATTTTCATTTTTGTAAAACACCTAATTATTAATTAATTCTAAAAAATGTAAAAATCAAATCTTAAATGCAAATGCTATATTTTTTGTATTTTTGATGCATTAATAAAATTAAACATGCAAACAAATACATGCAAACAATCAGGAAAATCACACAATAATTCCTAAAATAACACATAATCAAAGCCAAAACCTAATTTTGGGAATTATTTTGGAGTAATTCGTATGAGGCAAAAATCACGTGCTTACACTTATCAACACGAGGATTGATTATTTAGCATATTATATAGCCTAAGACTCCTATATAAGAAGTACCTCTTTTCATTTTTATATTATTTTCGATAGCCGAGAAATCTCCAAGGACCAATTTCGAAACTCAGTGGATGATGGACCGTTCCTCAACCCTTCTCTACTTAAATACCAGGCTTTTGTTATCAACAGGCTTCGAACACGTGACGTGCGCCTAATCCACACATCATAAGTTGCGCCCCTACCACAGGACCAAAGTCCTGGGGCCATATAAGAAGTACCTCTTATACATTGTTAACCGAGTCAAAAGAAGTTTCTTCTACTGTTCTACATTTTTATATGGTATCAGAGCAGGCAAAGTCTTAGGTTCGAGTCTCACTGCCACTCATTATCAAAAAGAATTTACGTGCTCGGACCATAAAAAATCAGGCCTATAAGTGGGGGAGCGTGTTGAAGACATAATTAAGTATCTAAAGTGTGTTCTCTCTTGCAGCTTCAACTTTTTGATGAGATGGTCACACTTGAACAAGTTACACGGATTAAGGAAACATTTAGAAATAGGTCAGTCATCAATCCATCATACTTCAGAAAAAGTTAAGGATTAGATTTGCTTAAATGTTATACATGCTCCAGAGATATAATATATGAAATTGGGGGTTGGAAAGGAAAAGATAATCGTCAATTGGTAACATATGCTTGAAGAACAAATTCATAGAGTTGAGGCACTAAAAATAAAAAGAATAGGTACCTAACTAAGATCTTAATTCAGGATTAATATACAGAGCTTAGTTAGCATGACAGAATTTGAAAAAATGATTCTTCAAGAAGGCTGTGCTCGGTGTCACTTAAGAAGTTCTGCTAGAAACAAACTCCCTACTCTACGTTCAGACCTGCAACGAACTGTAACTTCCATCATCTGGTCTGCTTCATCTCATGAAAGCATGAACGAAGAGTTACTGAAAATCTTATAGCTATTGCGAGCTACTGGTAGTAGTTTGTGCTAATGTTTAGAAAAAGATGAATGACGAAGAGCTACTCTAGTACTTTGCACTGATTTTTCAGGACAAATGAATAAAGCAGCTAGGGGATGTCCTCGTAATCTAGAAAGTAAAAGTTGATCATTCTCAGTACCAAGTCATTCAGAATGAAACCTTCACCTGCTACCGATTGGAGTAGATAACACAGATGCACAACAGATTCTCTACAGATATCAGCAAGTGCAAAAACGATCTTCCAGCAATGCTATTAAGCTAAGTCCATAAAGCCACTGCCTCTTCTATTTTCATACCTTTTATCCTCGGACCCCTCCTATTATCATGTCATTTATGTCATTGATTAATTTATCATTTCTTTCGATGGTATATTTGGTCTGCAATGTAATAAACAGGATACAGAAAGACAAGTCTATTTTGACAAAAATTATTCAAATTTTGTGAGATCATGTATAAAGTAATTACACCCTCCATTCCAATTTATGTGACACTTTTTCTTTTTTAGTTAGACCAGAAAAGAATGACACCTTTTTATATTTACTAACAATTTAACTTTAAAATGCCCATTTTAGTTAATGAGATGATCTATTAGACACACAAATATCTATTGCTCATTTTAGACCACAAGTTTCTAAAATTTTCCTTCTTTGTTAAACTCTATGCCCAATCAAACACCATCACATAAATTGGGATGGAGGGGGCAGTTGATTTTATGACTAATAAAAAGCAGGTTCAGCATAAGCTTTCAATCAATTCATCCCTTCAGCTTTAGCAAGCTAAGGACAGTGAATGTCTTCAAATGGAGTCTATGGCATTTCCCATTGATGAGGCAGCATGACTTCCACTTCTCCCTCCCTTCCCCAACAATCGGACTTCTTCCACTCTTACACTATCGTTTTTGAGAAAGGTAACAACTTTCTTCAACTCTTACACTTGAAACCACCATATAAAGTTTGGCTAGTGATTAAAGATAGGATGTACAACATTTTCAAGACCAGTGCTCGGAACAAGTGCCTCAACACTAATTAGCACCACTATATGCATATAAAATACAACTGTTGTCTCAAAGGTTGATATGCCATAAGGTAGATCTATAGCTTTTATTAATCAACATGAAAAGGCAACACAAGATATATTGTCTATCCAATTTTCCTTCTAATAGCATCAGATTTCTATTCCTTTTATGCCGTTTACTTTCAGATACTGTTTCCATACTCTTGATATTTCTCTAAAAGAAATAAGATTAGCCTCATATTCAACATGTCAAATGATGCCAGATAAGAATTTCGATCATGGTTATTCAACAGGGAAAGAAAAAGACAAAAAACAGTAAAAGACAAAACCAGCATCTATACGTACGTGCTAATAGTTGAAGGCCGATAAAGTCTATGGCTAAACCAATTCTCAGGATCAATTTTGTCAACAAGGGGTCTTGCATATCCTGTATGTACATAACAATTAAAAATTCAACAATTTTGGATGAAGATGCCAATGGAGAAGGAAGATAACTAAATCAACCAGAAAGTAATGAGTTAACCTTCAAGTCCAGCAGTAAACAAGACCAGATTAGCAAATTTGCTAAGTTGTTTTAAAAACTCGTGTAATCCAGGACGTTCAAAAACTGTGACATAGTTGATCTTAGGTTTGCCATCATATTCCTAAAACCTCCAAGAGGAATTAGAACAGAATTCTTCAAGAAACTTGCCAGAATATTATATCAAATAGTAGGAACTATAAAGTTTACCTTGTCCGAAGATATGCACTCGAGCTCAAACCACTTCAACCCAGCCTCTGTTGCCTGGGTACGCATCATTGTCGGCATACTTGATGTCTCATATGCACAAATTAAAGTATCATCCAAGTCAAGAACCACCTGCATCCAGCATCTAAGAACTTAAGAAAAACATAAACAGAAGGTAATCATCTATTAAAAGATTGATCAACACCATTGACAGTCAGCAGTTAATCCTTATTGCAGGAAGCACCGGTTATCCAGTTCTACAAACATTCTAGCTAAGGAGTGATAGGTAGTCGGAAGAGCACTGCCTATCATTTATTACCAATAAAGTGTTCATCACACATAAATTAGTTAGGTCAGTGTTAATTGAAGTGGAGCTTCGAGCTGCAGAAGGAAACAGAACATTGACCTAAACAATGCTTCTTAAAATTCTTCATGTCTACTTTATAGTTAGCCTTTCTCCAATATTAGATATCAGCAATATTGAAACTTTCTTCCATAATGCTGCCAGTCATCCAACTTTTAATCAGTATTTCCTTAAAACTTATACCACACACCTCATAATTATTCAACTAAAAAAGTTGAAGTATACCAGCATATCCAAAATCAGTTAGCATTAAATTCAGCCCCATTTCCTGAGAAAATTCCGATCCTCAACCCAAAGAAACTATAATTACGGAAATTATCTAGTTTTACAACAACTCCTCCTATTTCCTATTTAGCATGAATTTAACCACTTCCACAGCTGACTAGCAGTCTGCCACAAACATGACTATTTAATTACACAGGTTAATGCTCAAGTGCAAACCTACTAGATTCCTGATAAGTGTTCAACTGTTAGCAACAATAACTCTGATCGACTCGTGAGTGACCAATACAAGCAAGAGTGATAACTGACTCATTTCTCATGAATAATGAAAGAGCTTAATGCTTCACTATCAAACTGTATACCAAAAAACTATTAGTCATGTTCATCTGAAAGATAAGCAGTTCAACGATAACATAAAACATATAGGTTGTCTGGTTCGTCCACAAGTTAAACAAAATTCATAGAACATGAATTGTTATGTAGTGAATAATAATGTGTGTGTTATGCGACATTAGCAACATAAGGATCAGTGTGCAGAGATTGAAATACCAAAGTCAAGAATTAGTTTTTCCTGGTATTGCTAATACATGTATTATTACTTCACATTCTATCTCGTACAAACTAATAAGTTATAGAAGCATTAGTTAAGCAGAGTTTTACATCAAACAAAAAACTATATAACGTATAGAGTTGTCAAAGGCATATCCAAGTTTTGAACTTTATGGGTTCGAGTTTGAAATTCATCCATTTGATTTACTGTGTTCGAAATCTATTATTTCGACTTATTTAGTGATTATTTAACACATATATAGAGTTTGAACTTTATGGGTTCGAGTTTGAAATTCATCCATTTGATTTACTGGGTTCGAAATCTATTATTTCGACTTATTTAGTGAATTATTTAACACATATAGCGATTGTGTTCATCCATTTCATGTACTGGGTTCGAAATCTATTATTTCAACTTATCTAGTGAATCAACACATATAAAGAGTTCGAGCCAAAGTTACTGGGTACAGATGAACTCGTAGACTATATCCGCCCCTAAGAGTTGTATAATTAATAACCTAAGGTTGTATTAGTAATACTAAGTTTTTTGCATCAATATTACAGAGTTTTATGGTGGAAATATTTTCGTTATACATCAAAATACTCGAGCCTTTAGTCATACCGATCCAAAGGAAAACACTACACTCAAATACAATTTCTACTGCTAAACAATAATGACAACAACATTAGTAAATATTAACGTCTCCTACAAAGCTTATTACGAGACATTACCGTGAGCCTCTGTGAACGTTCCTCCTCGAGACTAGTCGGAACATTTCCGGTTGTGATTTGCAGAGTCGAGAGAGCGACGGATGACGGCGCCGCCTCCGCCTCCTCCTCCTCTTCCAGCAGCTCAACGTCAGGCAGTGGCTTGAACTGCGGAGAAGAAGAGAGAAGAGAGCTATTACCTTTGAGGATCTGAAGAAAGATCTGGAAGAAGAACGCTAGCCAATTCAGTAGCGATTTCCAGAGCTGTATAGTTCTCGGCGTGTAGACTTGTGTAGCCTGAAACAGCTCCGGCATGGTGAATCAGTGTAAAGTCCGGCGAAGGGTGCGCACCGTGTTATCGTTCACACACTGAGTTAAGTCAAAAATGGCAGATCAATTAATGGAGAATTCAAAAAGCTCTTTTGTTTGTTTCTGCTGATTACTTATTAAGTATTTTAAGGACTTTTAAAATGACTGCTGAGTGTATTATTATTAGGATTAGGATTATTGTGAAACTCTTAAATAATAATTATTGACAAAAGGTAAAGGATTTGGAGTCAAGTTGGAGGTATGGTCAAAGTTGTGCCTCGACAACAGTCGCCACTTGAAATTATATTATATTTCATATATATTTGGTGAAATGACACTATATAGCTCNTTTTATTTTTGAATTTTTTGGGAGTAATTCTCATATAGGGCAAAAATCACGTGCTTACAGTACTAATGTTGGAACTCCATCATATTATGCTGGATATACTGGAGTATAATATGCTGGATTTCAAGTATACTTACATTGGAACTCCAACATAATATACTGGCGTATTTTTCGGGTTTTGAACAGTGTTTTCGCTCAGATTTATCTTTACATGAAAAGTGACTAAATTTCAATTACTTTTAAAACTGGGCTATTTTTGAACGACCAGTTGTAAATTTGGCTATTTTTGAATTTCTACCGGCTAAAAGTGAAGAAAGCCCATTATATTTTGAGATTGAGAAAGAGACTATTTTAGATGAAGGCTATGATGGAAGGGACGAGATTCTTTATTCATAATTAGGACCTGTTTGGACATAAATTTTGACTCTTTTTCCTCCAAAAAGGTTGAAAATATTGTTTGTTCATAGAACTTGATCAATTTTTGAAAAAAAAATTAAAATAAATTTTAAATTCCCAAAAGCTGGCTTTTGGAAAGAAAAAAATCTTCCACTCACAAAACTTCAGCCCCGTTTGGCCATGAGTTTTGCCAAAATAAATTTGGGATTTATTTTCAAAACTCATGTTTGGCCATAAATTTTGCCCACATTTTGGCAAAATCCCAAATTCCAAACCCCAAACCCCAAAATCACCCCAATTGCTTATTTTGGGCCAAAATCCCAAAACTTGGGAATTATATACATGTTTTTTCAAAATAAAGTTGGGAAATATGTTTTAAAAACGTATATCCAAACACATTTTCATCTTCAAACCAAACTTCACCCAAATTAAATTTTTCAAAACAAATTTTGAATCTATGGCCAAACGCTAGCTTCAATTTTTTCCAAAAAAAATGCATGTCCAAACGCAACTTCAACTTTCAAAAACTATTTTTTAACATAACTTCAAAAATTATTTCAAGTTCAATCAAACCTATGTCCAAACGCTAGCTTAAATGTTTCAAGTCTGAGATTTGAGAATGAAAAAATTTATGGGTGTTGCGGAAACCGAATATATAGAGAGTGATTAAATCACAACTACTATATCTAAGGTAGCTAATAAATAGTAAATGGGATGATAATAAAAGGAATACCAGAAATTAACGAGGTTTGGCAAAATTTTATTTTGGCCTAGTCCTCGGACACAATCAACTCAAAATTAATTTCACTCAAAAAATACAAGTGAAATACTACAAGAGAGAAAGAAGATTCAAATGCCTTAGGAGATAAGAAGGCAAGTGAGAGATATTTACAAATGAACAAAACCCTTGCTATTTATAGAAGAAAAATTGCCATAATAATGTCATGCATGACATCACATTAAGTATGAACATGCAATGTAAATGCATGAAAAATGCATCTACCAATTTCTTCAAAAAAAAAAAGCTTCAAATGTTCACACTAGTTCGTATCAATCTTGACAAATTCAATAAATCTCCACCTTGGCTAGATTCCACTTTTTCAATTTCCTTTCACTGATAAATTTTGATTGTGTCTTCAACTTCAAAGTTCAACAATGTTGATCAAGTTCAAACAATGTTGAAACTTGATCGCAGTCACTACTTTTGTTAGCATATCGGCAGGGTTGTCTGTAGTCCGACTTTTCTGCACTGTGACTCGACCGTCTTCTATAATATCTCGTACGAAGTGATATCAAACATCAATGTGCTTCGTCCTTGAATGATAAACTTGGTTCTTTGCTAATTGGATAGCACTCTCACTATCACAAAATAGTGTAATGCTTTCTTGACCAATACCAAGTTCCCTAAGCAACCCTTGAAGCAAATTGCTTCCTTTACAGCCTCCGTAATTGCCATGTACTTTGCCTCAGTAGTAGACAACGCAACCGTTGACTGCAAAGTAGACTTGCAACTAACTGGTGCATTTGCAAAAGTGAAAACATAACCAGTAGTTGATTTACGCTTGTCCAAATCACCCGCATAATCTGAGTCACAATATCCAACCAGATACTGACTATCTTCCTGCTCAAAAATCAATCCGACATCTACAGTATTACGAATATACCGTAGAATCTATTTCACAGCTTGCCAATGCTCCTTTCCTGGATCATGCATATACCTGCTTACAACTCCAATAGTATGTGAAATATCAGGTCATGTGCAAACCATTGCATACATCAAGCTACCAGCGGCATTCGCATATGGCACTCTTGACATATACTCTCGTTCAGCTTCATTCCTCGGCGACATAGCAGCACTAAGCTTAAAATGAGGAGCAAGTGGAGTGCTAACTGATTTCGTGTTGTCATTCATGCCAAATCGATCGATTACTCTCTTCAAGTATTCTTTCTGAGATAGATAGAGTTTCTTTGAATGTCTATCTCTTTTTATCTCCATGCCAAGAATTTTCTTCGCCTCACCCAAATCCTTCATCTCAAACTCCTTTCTTAGTTGAATCTTCAACTTCTCAATTTCTTCTTGACTTTTGGAAGTTATCAACGTATAGGAGAAGATATATGAAGGATCCGTCTTCAAGCTTGCGCAAATACACACAATGGTCGTATTTGCTTCTTCTGTACTTCTGTCGTAACATAAACTTGTCAAATTGTTTGTACCATTGTCTAGAAGATTGTTTCAATCCGTATAACGATTTTTCAAGTTTGCACACAATATTTTCCTTTCCAACAAATTTGAATCCTTCTGGCTTGTAAGCACGTGACCCTATATGAGAATTACTCCCAAAAAAAATTCAAAAATAAAATAATTTTCCTTGGTGTGCAATTTTGTGATATTTTGAATAATTATTTGTATTTGTATGTGCATGTTTATTTGCTAAATTAATAAAAAAATACAAAAATATGTCGCACTTTGCATGTAGGATTTAATTATACAATCTTTTAGTAATTAAGTTTGTTTACAAAAATTAAAAAATTACAAAAATAGGCATCTTTTGCATTTTTAGCATTTAATATCCAAATATACAATTTTATGCTTAATTGCTACTTAATTATGCGTTAATTGTTATTGGAAATTAATTTGCGCTTTTATAACTTAACTTAGCTCTTAATAATAATTTAAGTATTTTATAATTTAGTCCTAGAAAAATAAAAGAAGAAAGAGAGCAAAAATACAAAGAAAAATCGGATTTGGGCCATTTCTTCAA